GTGCCAAATTTCATAAAAATTGGTTCAGGCATTCGGTTATTATAGCCAATTCATGGCGACCCAGCATCCTTTTACGGCCGCCATCTTGATGACGTCATTACGGACGACCGAGGTCCTTAAAAGTTGGGGTCTGGGTGGTTTTAGGTTCAGAAACTTGTATACCATAACCACCTAAAATTGCAGCCTCCCCGCCAGAACTGAAATATTCTGCCACTATATGCAACTATACAACCCCACTGTATTTTTAAAAGTTCAAGTCTTGGTTGTTCTTTAACTAAATAATTTTTACCCCTTGTATTATAATTATGCACAGGTAATTCATGAGTTTCAGCAATATTTAAAAAAATATTTAATTGTTTCAAAAATATATAAGGTGTGAACTGTAAAAATGCCCATCCCTTTAAAATAAGATTTGAAGGACTGGTTATATTTTAATTTATGTATTAATCTGATTAAATTGCTTTTTTTGTATTTTCAAAATCTTTTTTAAATTCTTTTTCTTTGTCCCACCATGAATACTAATTCCAGAGTTATGTGATTCAATATGAGCATGATATATCATTTTAAGGACTGATCCTTCACAGAGATATGACATTGTTCTTAGGACGAATATAACAGAATTTAGTTTTCTTATTAAATACTCAACATGTTTATCCCAGCTTAAATCCTCATCTAAACTTGAGCAATGGAATTTTTTTTTATATCTAACTTTATACTTTTATCATTTTTGTCTCTTTTTGTTTTGAAAAGAATGAAATTAGTTTTCCTAGCATTAAGTGCTAAATTATGGTCTTTTAAAAACTGGTTCAGATTTTTTAATTCTAATTTAGCAGACATTTACTAAATCAGTTAGGGATTTCCCAGTTGTGTTAAGATTAATATCATGTGCATATATACTTATCTTACTACCTGGGTCATTTAGAGAATTTGGAAGATTTTTAAGGTAACAGATGAATAAAAGAGGACCAAGAATCGATTCAGACTTTTTAATTCTGATTTAGCAGACATTTCTAAATTAGTTAGGGATTTCCCAGTTGTGTTACGATTAATATCATCTGCATATATACTTATCTTACTACCTGGGTCATTTAGAGAATTTGGAAGATTTTTTAGGTAACAGATGAATAAAAGAGGACCAAAAATCGATCCCTGTGGGACACCAGATAATATCATTGATAAATTGGATCTTGTTTTTTGGATGATGCTGTTTTTTGACAAAGTTGATATTTCCACAAATTGGTAACGTTCCTCTAAGTATGATTTAAACCAATTGAGAGTGACTCCTTTAATACCCAAATTATCAAGTTTAGCTATTAATTGATAGTGGTCTACATTATCAAATGCCTGGGACATGTCCATGAAGATGCCAGCTGAATTTAAACCCTTGTAAAGTGAATTTATCACTGCTTCAATGAAACTAACCGCTGATGTACAGTCGATCTACCAGCACGGAAACCATGTTGTTCATTATCAATTAGATCATACTGGTTCAAGAAACTGTTCAACCTTTTGTAAACTGCCTTCTCATATACCTTTGAAATTGCCGGGAGAATTGACACTGGCCTGTAGTTTGAAATATCTTTCCTAGAGTTTTTTTATAAACGGGCACCACTCTAGCAATTTTAAGCTCGTTTGGAAAAATTCCTGTTACAAATTATGAGTTAATTAAGTGCATTAAAATGAATTTCATCTCCTCTTTCACATCTTTTAAAATTTTTACTGATAAATCGTCATAGCCAGATGTTGTTTTATTTTTTAAAGATTGTATAATAGTTATTATTTCGGTATCAGTTACTGGTTCAAAATAAAATTTGGTATGACATATATTTTTTGAAGAGGTGTCGAATGTAGTACAGTAGAACCTCACTAATTCGAACCTCGATAGTTCAAAAACCTCTATAATTGGAATTTAGAACAAAAAATATGCATGTTCAAACATGAACTGACGCTCTTATTGATGTTCCCACGATGTGTTCATTAGTCTCCGTTCTCTCAAACTCTACACTTAAAACTGGGATCTCCATAATTCGAATTTTATTTATTCTGACCTCTATAATTCAAACTCTCTATATTTTAAACTTCCTATAATTCAAAATATATTGGCTTTCCTCTGAAATTCGAATTAGCGAGGTTCTACTGTACAGTAGAGTCCCGCAAACTCGGCACCCGATAACCCGGCAGTCTGGATAACTCGACCATCACCTGGCTCAGAAGATTAGTGATTTTTTGAGTCCGAGTTCAACATGTACTCAAGCCAGCTCAAGTAAAATCATTCGCAACTCGTACCAAGGATTTATTATACAATATCTGATGACTTAATCCTGACTTGTAATATAAATATAAATAACAAAGGCAGCTAAAAGGCTTAAAAATTGCATTGTTCTTATTTTTAACCCTAGCAGGGTGTCCACCAGGCCAACCAGAAAAAAATCATGAGTAATTCATGAGTAAAAAAAAATCCAGGATGTTCAGGTCGTACTTTTCTTACTAAAATTTCCAACGTGTTTTGCGCCAACTCCCCCAATGCTGTTTTAGCACTAACACAGCTCGCTATTTTAGTTATCGGAAAGAGCATTCTCAGTTAAGGGGGAAAAAATTATGATTGCTGTAATATTGCCTGACACAAGTATTCAATTTTTATATATTACTGATTAAATAATCCAAAAACTAAAGACTAATCCTTAAACCTGCAATTTATTAATAACTTCCTAAAAATAGTGATATGTCGATACCAAAATTTATTGAATCTCTGTACAGACACCTGAAAAATAGATTCTTAATTTAATACTGATCATAACAATTTTTCCAAATTTTCTGAAGGATTACTAAACCAACCCCTGGTTTTATGTACTTTCATATAGCCTAATTTTTGAGTAATGGGTTGTTTTCCAAGTAGCCTAAAGAAATAATAACGCAGAAATTAAAAAAATTGCACGTAGCCAATTAATGTTTTAAACCCTTCTAAACACATTAAATAAATACCACGTTAAAGGTAGATGAAGATATTACAAAAAAATATTTTAAAAAAATTTCTAGAAGTGTGCCATTTTGAAATTTTTTCTTAAAGCTAAACTCGGGGTTATATTGTAATCATCTAACACAGTTGTAGAGACACCATCATCGTTTTCTGCAATAACTGAAAAATCCTGAATATCTCACTCAGTAACAGAAACATCACCACTGTCTTCCGTGGTCGTGGAAAAATCCTGATATAGTCCAGCAGTAACGGAAACATTATAATCGTCTCCCGCGATCACAGTAAAGTTATCATAACCTTCCTCGATGGTAGCTTAAATCAAATAATTTCCCGAGGTCATCATCGTCAAGCAATACTGTTGGAAATCATCATCGTTTCCCGCAGTCACGGAAACGTCATCGTTTGCATGCGCGGTCACGGAAACGTCATCGTCATCTTCCGCGATCACAAAAACATCGTCGTCGTCTCCCACTGTCATGGAAACGTCATTGTCTTCACCCGCGATCACGGAACCGTCATCATCGTCTCCCGTGGTCACCGGAACGTCATCGTCATCTCCCTCGGTCACAGAAACGTCATCATCGTTTCCCGAGGTCAAGGAAACGTCATCGTCCGCATGCGCGATAGCGGCAAAATCACTAACATATCCCGCGGCCATTTGGACATCATCATCGTCTCACGGGGTCACGGAAACGTCATCGTCTGAATGCGCGATCACGGAAACGTCATCGTCGTCTCCCGAAGTCACGGAAAAATCATCGTCGTCTCCCGAAGTCACAGAAACGTCATCGTCGTCTCCCGCGGGTACGAAAACATCATTGTTAACTCCCGCGGACACGGAAACGTCATCGTCTGCATGTGCGATCACGGAAACGTCATCGTCGTCTCCCGCGGGTACGAAAACATCATTGTTAACTCCCGCGGACACGGAAACGTCATCTTCTGCATGTGCGATCACGGAAATGTCATCGTCGTCTCCCGCAGTCACGGAAACGTCATCGTCGTCTCCCGCAGTGACAGGAATGTCATCGGTGTCTCCCGCGTTGACGGGAACGTAACGGCGTCTCCCGCGGTCGCGGCAAAAAATTCCCGGTTAAATACAAAATTCTCGCATAATTCCCGGTTTTCCTGGTCGGTGGACACCCTGCCTAGTTCCCGATAACCCGGCATTTCACATACTCGACACTCTTCCAGTCCACATTACGCCGAGTTTGTGGGACTCTACTGTATTACAAAATTTTATATGTCTCTTTGAAGATTTTGTAAAAAATGAGTTTAAAATATTTGTAATTTCTTTTGGATTGTTAACTATCTTATTGTTAAATCTTTATGACATATTTTCCAGTTCTTTTTGGTTTTTGCCATTAATAACTTCCTTGTTGATAATTGACCATGTTGTTTTTGAAATATTTGATGAACGTTTAATTTTTTTGTTATAATATTCTTGTTTTGTTTTGAAAAGATCAAATTTACAGCAGCAAAATCACGAAAGTCTTCCACGGCCGTGTAGACATAATCATTGACTTACGCGGTCACGGAAACGGCAAAATCATCAATATTTTCCGTGGCCGTGTAGACGTCATCGTCGTCTCCCGCGGTCACGGAAACTTCATCACAGTCTTCCGCGATCGGGGCAAATGCGCGTTTTACGATTGCAATCTTCTACCGGGGCTAAAATAAAAACCGGAATTGTTAAAAAATCCTGGCTTTTTCCCGGTTTTTCCAGGTCTCTTCAACTTAAAGGTTTTTTCCCGGCTATCCCGGTTTCCCTGGTTGGTATACACACTGTATTACCAATCCATTCAGAAAATTTGGTAAAACTATAATTGGTATCGAGAATTGATTTTCAGGTATCAATATTGGCATCAAGAATCGATAAATTTTGGTATCGACACATTAGTAGTTGCTTCAAAAAAAGTTGAACTGATCTTTAGACATAACCCATAATTTAATGCTATTATAAGAAAAACTATAATAAGAGCCTACACAAGTCTGACTACTTAAGGAAAACCAAGGAACTTACTGATGCCAGCTCGTGGAGGATCCAGGATAGGCACGACTTTCTTTCCTTTAAGTTTCTCTTCCAGTTCCGGAAATAAATCATCTACTGAGCCTTGGAGGAACTCACAGTTGGTCAGTCCATTCTTGGCTGCCAGTCTCTTGGCATCGTCTACGTTCACATCCATCACTTCCACACCAATAACTTCCTTGCAATCCTGCCAAAAACACAAGTGTAAGAAATAATTCACTGGATGTTGAAAACAAATTAAAATGTACGATTCTAAAAGTTGGATAAAAATCTAACTGCATATGTTCAGTCAAGTTGCCTTTTTTTTTTGTATTAATTTTATGTCTTTGTTTTTAACAGTCAATCTGTAATTCCCATCACATTACCATATGTCAATTTTCATTGTTGCATTCATTTTTTTCGTCTCAAATCACCGCTCATAACATCACGTACTAATTTTTTATCGTAATAAATCAACCTCTTTATACCAAAACCCTCGACTTTTTCCTCTATAATATAATTACACCGCACATTTTTGGTCCTTCGAGCCGCGGATTATATTTACGAACATTAGTGCGACTTTTTCTCAAGTTATTTCAAATGTCTCGGTTGAACGTATTTCATCCAACGTGAAGCCGCCAAAGACAATACCGCATCGCTATTTTTGAACCTTTTTGTCTACGTCACGATACAGTCCACACTCCTCTCATTCCAAGTGTTCAACATCGTCATCGTTCTTCTAGTTCTGCTCCGCATTCATCACTTCGTCGACACTTCATTTCGTCTACAACTTCAGCTTCAAACGTCATGTCAAAAGTAAGGTTATGTTTGTAATTCTTCGAAGACAATGAAGACAACTCATCGCATCTCATCGTAAGTTCTAACAATAAATCAATACCCACAAGAAAATAATAAAGAAACCCAGATTTTATTCCTCAGTTGTCCTTAACCTCTAATTACTCCTTCCAATTACAATAGCTCGACTACTTACTTAACTCATTGAACGATCTAGGCCTAACTTTCAAAATGAGATTTTACACATTTTCCAATAGATGCAAATTGCAAATAAATAAATTAAATACGATCAGTGAGTATATTCAATCGTGTCCATCAGAAATAACAGAAGCTCAAACCGCTAAACTTAACCTTTATTTGCACGAAGCTAAAGCAATTTCTGCCAATTTTGAATCTAACCTAGATAAGCTTCTTGATGTTGATGACGACACTTAAGTTTTTTCTGACAATGAAGAAGCTATTTTAAAGCTCCAGAACGACATAACAGAACTCTTAATTAACATTCAAACCAAAATTTCTCTTCTAATTCAGAACTCTAATGAGGAACACTTCAAATAACTCGGTAACATCAAACCTAACCTCTAGGCCTACTTCTAGCATTGTAAAATTGCCTAAGCTAGAACTGAAGTCCTTCAATGGTGACACTAAAACATGGATATCCTACATTAACCTTTTTGATACTACTATCCACAACAATAGTAGCTTATCCCTTGTTGAAAAACACCAGTACTTGATAAGTTCACTTGAAGGCGAAGCCTTACACTTAATCAAATCTTTACCGATCTCGTCTGGCAACTATACAGTAGCCTATAATGCTTTACGGGAAAGATACCACTCGAAGCGTAGGCTAATCTCTGTCCACCTCAGTAAAATTGTCGATTTGCCCAATATTATTGAAAAATCTATCAAAAACCTCAGATCATTTTTAAATGAGTTTAATGAAAATGAACAAGCTCTTAGTGTTCTTGACTATAATGTCAAGAAAGACAACTACCTACTAAGTATGTTGATCTTACGAAAAATGAATTCCAACCTCTGTAAAGTTTTTGAATCAAAACGCATAAATTCTTCTGATTTTCCTCAAGCTAGTGAAATAATCAAATTCCTCAAAGATTTTTGTAACAACAGTGAAGATGCATCTCTACGTCACAGTCAGCAAGCAGCTCCTCTCCAAATATCCAACCCTCACCAAGTTCCACGTCAAATTGATGAATCAATTCAGTTTCAACATCCTCCTATGGCCTTGATATGTACTTCAAATGATTTTAAATGTTTTTGCTGCCATACAAATCACAAAATATACAGTTGCCCTGTCTTTAATAGTAAAACCCCTCAAGAAAGGCTTAAAGTTGTACGCGACTTAAAACGCTGCACAAATTGCCTTGGTAAACACTTTGCTAAACGCTGCAAGTCGACTAATACTTGTAAGACCTGTTTGAAACTTCATCACACACTCCTTCATTTTTTGAAGTCTACTAAGCCTATGGCTGATAACAGAAATCACTCCAACCAAGAACAAAAAGAAGCAATATCAAACTCAAAACTTTTTAAACTGACAGCTGTAACTCCTGGCCATTTTCTTATCAGCTCTTCTCTGACAACTGTTCCTGACCCAACAAAGATCTCACCTCTTATTGATAATTTACCTCAAGACATCACCCAAAGCCTATGCTGCCGTTGGAGTCAAGAATATTTTAAGACCCCTCATCAGCGTTGGTACTATTTTATTTTATTTGGTACCAGCTATTTTATTTGGTACCATCGGAAAGAAAAACTCATAAAGTTTCATTTACATTGGTTTGGGTACATATAAGCTGTTTGTCAAGTCAATTGTTGTAAGAGTTGTGTAATGGCTGAATTTGAAGGCAGGAAAGCTTTTTGCCAGTTGGAATATTACATTAACCAATCTGTTATTAGTGTGCAACGACACTTTAGAACCAGGTTAAACGACTATCCTCCTAGTAACCACTATATTGGCAAGTGACACTTGAAATTTTAGAGAAATGGCTGCATTTGAATGTTACTTGTAGTAGGGCTGAACTTAACAATGTGCTGCCTGATATATGGAACGAGCTCGGTGGTCCGAATAATGACACACCCCTGAACTGGCCTACAAGATCTCCGGACATCACCCCCTGATTTTTTTCTTGTGGGGTTACATCAAAGATAAGGCGTACACACTGACCATTATCAGATAGCATACTTGAGATCCAGCAACGGATTACCAATGCTATCGAAACAATAGACCTAGACACACTTTTCAAAGTCTAGCAAGAGCTTGACTACATTATTGACATGTATCGTACCACAAGGGGTTCCCGTATCGAGCATTTACAGTTCTGTGTATCTGTGTCAAAACTTGTTGAGTTTTTCAAAAGTTGTAACCATTTTATTTTTCCGTATAACAAATAAAACTATATTTCATGTATGTATGAAATCATGAACATCATTTGTAATAACCCCTATGTAGCCTACTTGTTAAACTAATTCTATTTAAATAGGAAATAAATGTGATATTTTTATGGAGGCATTTTAGTGTAAATCCAATCAGGTTAATAGAAATTCACTTAGTCTGCAGGTTTGCTGCGGCGGGGGTATTTGAGCTATAGCTGTTTGAAAAAAAACGTGTTTTGTCGTTTTTAGATGTCCGCCATTTTGGATTGTTGGGGCGGGGTCAAAAATTTGAAAATCGGTCTTTTGCATAATTCGCCGTTAATTAAAGATCCCATACAGTAGACTCCCTCTTATCCGGACACCTTTTAACCGGACATCTGTTTAACCGGACTACACTTGGCGGAAATGACATCTCTTTAACCGGACAACTTTTATCAGCACATTGGTTTAACCGGACTAGATTGGCAGGAAGTGGGCAGTACTGAAACAACTGTTCTCGTGGGAGAGATTTGAGACCAGATATCACGTGACTGAATACAATGCTCTCCTAAATTTAAGTTGAATATCACAGTAAACGGTCCGTTTTAACAAGTGTTTGGGGACGTCGGTTTAACCGGGAAAACCGTTATCCGGACTGGCCTCGGTCCCGAGGGGTCCGGATAAGAGGGAGTCTACTGTACTACAATACTACCAAATTTCAAGTCTCTAGCACGTCTTTAAACAAATCAAATGAGCATACCGAAGTCTTAAAATTTCAATGTTATTCGCCATAAGAATAACATGGGGCTCGTAATAGTGGTCAAATCCTTTCAAATTTTGACATTAAAAGTAAGTTTTGGGGGTCAAGGAGTAAAGCTATGAAAAAACACGTAGTGTGTAAAATTTTAAGTAAACTAAGGAGAATACAAAGCAATAATAATATTTGCAAAAGGGAATTATTTAGGTATGGAAAAATAGCAAAAACCGTTAAAAATTTGAAGGAAATTGACCAAATTTTGAAAGTAGGGCGTTTATTGAAGGTTAAGGCAGTGCGATTTTCGAAAAAAGCTTAATAGTGTCTTGTAGAAAATTTAATTCGGAACCTACGATTTTCCCTCAAATCGTTTCTAGCTCTTACCGTCTTCGAGCTATAGCCGTTTGAAAAAAAAAACCTGTTTTGTTGTTTCAGAGGTCCGCCATTTTGGATTTGTGGGAGGGTTAAAAATTGAAAATGGGACTTTTGCAAATTTCCTCGTTAATTTAAGATACCAATCTACGTTACTGCCAAATTTCCAAGTCTCTAGCACGTTTCTAAACGATTCAGATGATCATAACAAAGTCAATTCAATGTTATTCTCGATGAGAATAACATGGGGCTCGTAAGAACTATAAAATTTTGACTTTAAAATTAAGTTTCAGGGGTCAAGGAGTAAAGTTACGAAAAAACATCGTTGAGTAAAATTTTAAGTAAAGTAAGGATAATACAAAGCAATAATAATGTTTGCAAAAAAAATTATTTAAGTATGAAAAAATAGCGCAAACCAGAAAAAAATTTGAAAGAAATTTACCAAATTTAAATTTTGAAGGTAGGGCGTTTTAAGGGGGGTTAAGGAGTGTATTCGGAAAACGCCTAAGAGGGTTTTGTAGAAAATTTAATTCCCGTTCATGAAAATTCTTTCAAATCTTTTCTAGCTCTTACCGTTTTCGAGCTATAGGCGTTTTGTCGTTTTTAGAGGTCCGCCATTTTGAATTTTTAGGGTGGTTAACACGTTCGCTACTGCAATAGTACGAAATTTTCCATTCACATGGACCAGCGACGCACATATGCGACGGCCGGTTCCCACCCATGGACTGCATATATGCGACGGCTTGTCACATTAAAATAGACTGCCGACGCATATTTGCGTCGGGGTTCTAATGTTATTAAAATGCTTATATCTTTGTAGTGGTCTATTTGAAGGCACTGAATTCGAATTCCCTGCAGTGGTCTACAGAGATGTCTGACGCACAACTCGCTTGGTCTGTGGATATGATGATTGGTGACGTCATATAATAGTTGGAAAAACTGGTCTTTACTTTTCTGCATCACTGTATGTATGTATGCAGTATGTATGCTGCATTATCCTATGTAGCTTTTATATTTGTCCAGTTATAAACTGTTCTTGAATAATCTGTTTATTTCTTTACTTACTTTCATCTTAAAACACAAAAAAATGAACTGTCGCATATATGCGACGTTTAGTCTATTTCAAGAAAACTATGATAATTTTCATTATTGTCTTCGCTGTAGACCGGGCGTCGCAAATATGCGACATTACAAAAGGTTATAAAAATTACAAATAAACAAGAATAATTTATTTACAAACACCATTGTAGCGTATTACAATGTAAATGATCGCTGTTTTACAGGTTTTCGCCCGTGGTCTGTGTGTACTGTTATCCAAGTGACAGTCGGTCTATGTGTAAGATTCAAAAGTATAATATGCGACATTACAAAAGGTTATAAAAATTACAAATAAACAAGAATAATTTATTTACAAACACCATTGTAGCGTATTACAATGTAAATGATCGCTGTTTTACAGGTTTTTGCCCGTGGTCTGTGTGTACTGTTATCCAAGTGACAGTCGGTCTATGTGTAAGATTCAAATGTATACCTCGGTCTGTGGCAATGATCGCGGCGTCGCATATATGCGACGCTCAGTAGCAAGCGTGTTCAAATTTGAAAATGGGACTTTTGCAAAACTCACCGTTAATGTAAGATCCCATACGACAATTAGGGATGGACGGGTCCCGAAATTTCGGGAATTTTTCGGGAAAAAAATATTCCCGATTATCGGGACGGGATTACATTTGACTCGGGAATTTTTTGGGACGGGATTTGGTCCGATCGTCGGCGATTTTTCCGCTTCGCGAGTGCCGATAACGCCGTTATTGCGAGCGATAGGTCCGCGAACGCAGGAGACGAAGTCATTTCGACGATTACGCCGTGACCGCGGAGTCATAACGAAGATCGCGCCGTGGCCGCGATTATTGGACCGACGATCGCACCGTGACCGTGGAGTCATAACGACGATCGGGCTGTGACCGCGGAGTCATACCGACTGACCGCGGAGTCATAACGACGATCGCGCCGCGACCGCGAAGTCATACCGACGATCGCGCTGTGACCATGAGTCATACCGACGATCACGCCGTGACCGCGAGTCATACCGACGATCACGCCGTGACCGCGAGTCATACCGACGATCGCGCCGTGACCGCGGAGTCATACCGACGATCGCGCCGTGACCATGGAGTCCTACCGACGATCGCGCCGTGACCGCGAGTCATACCGACGATCGCGCCGTGACCGCGAGTCATACCGACGATCGCGCCGTGACCGCGAGTCATACCGACGATAACCCCGTGACCGTGGAGTTATATCGACGATCGCGCCGTGACCGCGAGTCATACCGACGATCGCGCAGTGACCGCGAGTCATATCGAAGATCGCGCCGTGACCGCGAGTCATGCCGACGATCGCGCTGTGACCGCGAGTCATACCGACGATCGCGCCGTGACCGCGAGTCATATCGAAGATCGCGCCGTGACCGCGAGTCATACCGACGATCGCGCTGTGACCGCGAGTCATACCGACGATCGTGCCGTGACTGCGAGTCATACCGACGATCGCGCCGTGACCGCGGAGTTATATCGACGATCGCGCCGTGACCGCGGAGTCCTACTGACGTTCGCGCCGTTACCGCGGAGTCATACCGACGATCGCGCCGTGACCGTGGAGTCCTACCGACGATCGCGCCGAGACCGCGAGTCATACCGACGATCGCGCCGTGACCGTGGAGTCCTACCGACGATTGCGCCGTGACCGCGAGTCATACCGACGATCGCGCCGTGACCGTGGAGTCCTACCGACGATTGCGCCGTGACCGCGAGTCATACCGACGATCGCGCCGTGACCGCGAGTCATACCGACGATGGCGCCGTGACCGCGAGTCATATCGACGATCGCGCCGTGACCGCGGAGTCCTACCGACGTTCGCGCCGTTACCGCGGAGTCATACCGACGATCGCGCCGTGACCGCGAGTCATGACGACGATCGCGCCGTGACCATGGAGTCCTACCTACGATCGCGCCGTGACCGCGAGTCATACCGACGATCGCGCCGTGATCGTGAGTCATGACGACGATCGCGCCGTGACTGTGAGTCATACAGACGATCACCCCGTGACCCGCGAGTCACAAGTTACTATAGGTACCTGTAAATTGTTACCCATTTTTTGGTTTCTATAGATCAGTGCCACAAATGGTAAAAATTGATTTCGTATGTGTTTTTTGGTAACTGCAAAACAGTACTTTCTTTTTATGCACAGAAAAAAATCCCGTCCCGTCCCGTCCCGAAAATCGGGAAGGAAATAAAAATCCCGTCCCGTCCCGAACTAAAAATTCAATCCCGTCCATCCCTAACGACAATACTACCAAGTTTCAAGTCTCTAGCACGTTTCTAAGTGGTTCAGATGAGCATACCAAAGTTGGAATTTTTCAATGTCATTTCCCATAAGAATAACATTGGGGGGGGGGAAATTCTTAAAAAAGGGGGGGGATAAAATAAAAAAATGCAACTTTTGAGAATTTTCCCGGGGTTTTGGTACCAAGACTGACAATCGTGCCAAATTTCAACTCCCTAGCACTTCTAGAAGTGGTCTAAAATTTGTATCCCTCCAGTGAGTGAGTCAGTGAGTCAGTTACACATCGGGCTGTATAGTTAATTAGAATAGCTCAGTTTAGCGATTCTACTAGCCTAACTTTGAGTATTGGTAACAAATTTAGTTATTTTAAGTTATGTATTATACCATAAACCCCATGTAAATACCCAACTTTTAAAGCCAGATTCGTTACATTCGGTCGAGAAATAACTGAGATACGGCCAAAACAGTATGCTTCGGAAAAACTCTACGAGTAACCTCAATAATACACTGTTTTGGCCTTCCATACAGATTTAACATTAAAACCTAAGGTTTTTTTACCATATACTCCTACCATTTGTTGGTTACAACAGATGTACCAGGTTTTACACTGCAACTTACCATGGAATAACTTTAACTACTATTATTGAGGCTTGAAAATGATAAAAACTTACACTCTACCATAAGAAATCTACTCTCAAAGTGGCAGATACTTCTACAGTGTTGTTTTATCAACACATTTATATAGTCTAGTCCTTTTCAGACCTGTATACATTACAATTCAATCTCTAGAAGTCCCTCTTATCTATTAATAGAGGTATATATACAAGTATTTTAGTCAGTTTTTGCTCTCAAATTTGTTATATGCTTGACCATCTCAAATTCTGTAACCGATGGCAGTAGATTATATCTGTTTACATTTACACACTCTATACACTACATCAGACTGGTATACGCACTTTAAATTCCCAGAAAATTACTCTTTACACAACAATTTAAGCGTTAAAAAGTTGAATTCTTGTGAAACTCTATTGAACCAAGATGTGATTTATCTCTTTATCTATTTCCCATCTCACTGGACTGAACAGACTGTTGAAGCGTGAAGAGAAAAACAGTTTGAAATTTTTGTAGGTTTTGAATCAGCATTTGACATTTGTTTTAGATTTCTGTTGTTTGCTAAATTGGGGGAACTGAGACTGCACACCTAGTTATGAGTACCGTTTACACGCTAAATGATTTCAAAAACAGCTCCAACAATTTCCTCTAAATTGTTAGAAATATTTTAGTTTTTGGCTGAAAACAATATTTATGCTAGGCTCTGTTTTAGGAATTTTTTTATTGTTATTTCATTTTTCATGCCATATTTTTTTGAGCATCCTTAAAACATCAATGAAAATTTCACACACGCTCAAATCTCGTGACTTTGGAACCCCAGCATATCGCAGAAACTAGAAATAGCCCTTTCAATGAATATAATACACACAACGGCCATTGAATCCTGAGTTGTAAGCACGTTGGATCTTGTTCAAAATAAACAAAGGTATTCTTACGTAGGCTTTTGCGGCCGGTGTCATAAGAGTTCATGGTGTTTTTCGGCGTCAACCGTGTCGTCACTACCAAACTCGCCAGACGTTTCGCCCTTACTATGAAGAGGCATCCTCAGTGGCTAGGCTGAGACTGTCTGACGCCGAAAAACACAATGAACTCTTAAAACAAAGGTATTAATTACGTAAGCCATTAACACCCCTGTTTTTTGTGAGGTTTATTTTTGACATTTTGCGTCAAAATTTTGGGCGACTGGGAAGTCGCAGAACGTTGGGAGAGGGCTAAAATTAAAGGTCTCGACTCGACCCCGTGACGGCGCGAAAAATAGTGAAATTCCCAAAATTTTAACACAAAATTAGATATAACGTAAAACGTTCTCTATAAGAATAGCATTGGAAGCCATTTACTGCTGATTTTTGTGAACTTTAATAGTTAAATACAGCTGATCGTTATTTATCATTAAGCCAGTAAGCAATATTAAATTTGGATTACTCATTTGCCAGTCAATTCTGCAATGTACTGTATACTATATAAAATCAGGGATAACGTTACCTATAATAATTATGACTTTTAGTTATGTCTTAGAAAGTTTGACTATTCGCGACAAAAACCATCACGTGTATGCTATCCACTAAAAAAAAAACCTCTGATTCCTGAGTGTTGGTTACCCTGTATATTGTATATTTATTTAATCAACCATATTAATAAGATATGATTGTACTCATAACAGACACAAGATTTAGGACCCAACAATTTAGGGTTTTGAGTTTGAGATTTGGAATAGACAGTTGTTGGATAGTTCAAATCATGTCCCATATGTGGGACTTGGCAGGCTATTACTGACTGATACGCCATCCTTACTTTGGCAAACATCATGCCCATGCCACCAGAGCCACAACACAGGTCCAGCACTGTAGTGTCAGTGTCTACTCCTGCCAGCTCCTTGACAGCCTTGTAGAGCTCCTCGGCTCCCCACGTGTTATTTTGGAAGTAGAAGTTGGGGTCGATCTCCAGCTTGAGGTCCAGCAACTGCTCTTCGATGTGAGTCTCTCCCCACAGAAGTTCTAGCTGGCCCTGCGGCCGCTTGGCCTTGTGACCTCCACCCAGCGTTCTGTAAAAATCACAAGTAAATACCACATTGCAGTCTAATAAAAAAGATACCCCCGCCACAGCAAACCTGCAGACTAAGCAAATTTCAATTTGTGAGATTGAATTTTAACAAAAATATTTCTTTCAACTTGTCATATTTCAGATTTATTCCCTACTAGCTGTTGAACCCATGCTTTGCAACAGGAATAGGACATGAAATAGAAACATTTTGATCTTTACGTGTATTGTTAAAATAGTTACACATCCGCCAACAATTTTAGACACAAAATTCAACCTTTATAGAAACGTTTATGGCTTTTAAATCTGGTAAGTAGTGGAAACCGCTAGGGATGGGCGAGTAGTGTTTTTTTGAGTCGAGTCGAGTAGAGTCGAGTAATTAGCCCTAATACTCGAGTATCGAGTCGAGTCGAGTAGTTCACGAGAAAATAAAAAATTTTATTTTACATACCTATATTCCATCTTCATTTTTACGAACAAAGCATTTCTCAATTCACCAAAAATAGACCTGGTTAAAAACTTTTATACCATATAAAAAACACAATATGTATGTGTATCAAACTTATATTTTGGTGTTAAAGGTTTATTATTAATTGCAAAAAAAATTGCAAAAATATGGAACTAAGTGTTTATTTTAAAATAGGCCTACTGTAAATGTTTGAATTTGACTAAAGCATGAGATCTAATAAAGTTTCCTCTAATTTATAAATAGGCTTATAAGTATTTATCTAAGTAATTTCTCAGTTTTTATATTTATTTGAAATTCCATGAAATTGTCTTAGTTAACTCATTAGTTTATAATTTTTTTTTTTATTACGTTTTAGCCTACATCTTGGTCTACAAATACTCTTTGTAAGGTAAGTTTTTTCCCCCAAGTGAGTAAAAACTAACTTCCTATATAATGACATTTTCTCACTAATTATATATCTTCAAAATTTGTTTAACTATGAAAAAGTCACCAAGTCTAGCTGAAAACATAATCATAAATGAGGATATTTTTGAAATACAGAATAACTAATCAAACAAAATTTTTAACACTTTTATTTCTCAACTTTTTTTCCTTGAAAATGTCAACAGTTTTTCACTTATTTTTAATAAAGATTATCACTTATAATTGTTTTAAAGAAGTCCAGATGTGTGAACTTGAAGAGCAGACAAGAGACATACGTCACTACCACAAAAACTCTTCTCTACAGTGAATGAATGAACTGTTTATTGTGTGAAGCCCCACCCACCGTCTAACGGGACATGGGGGAGGAAAAGAGAACGTTTGGCAGAATTTGCCCTTGTTCTAAAGCCTGGTTCACATGCCCTCCCTCACCCTCGGCCTCAGTGGCTTGCAGATTTCTATTACACAAGAGTGTTAAATTATTTTGAAATACTGTAAATGTTTGAATTTGACTATGACGAGATCTAATAAAGTTTCCTCTAATTTATAAATAGGCTTAACTTTTTAAGTATTAATCTAAGTCATTTGTCAGTTTTTGTATTTCTTTTTAAAAGCAATTGCAGTTATACATTAAAAAAATTACAAACATCTTGGCCTACAAATACATTTTGTTAGGAGAGTCTTTTCTCTAGTGAGTAAAAACGATCGTGGTCAAGGAATGAACTGTGCTAAAACAGCACATTGTCAATGTTTACAAAAGTATTTTGACTGAAACCCTGGTATTTTTTAAAGACATTGCATAATAGCCTATGTCGACGTCTGTGGAGAAAAGTATGGCAACAGATAGGTTTTACTTTTAGCCTACAATAAAGATTATGTTTTGGGACTAAAATCTCCAAAAGACCAAAAGAGTGCTTTTAACAAACATTTCATAGTTTTATTTAGTAACAAAAGTGTTTGACTATGTTCCCGATTATACCAAGAACAAGGTTCGGCAGAGTGGATTCACTGTGAACCGGCCTGCCTGGCCCTTATGCACGACGTCACTATAACCTCCGTGTAGAGGTGTCAACAATGGATCGGAACAATCGAAGTTTTGAACCTGTCTGTAACCTAGTTTTTTATACTTAAATACTTATTATTTATAAACAAACACGTCCTACATATCGGATCTCGAATCACGATATTTATCGATACCCTTTCCACCCACAATAAAACATTAAACGATGTCAAAGCAATCGTCATTTGCTCCATTGAAACACGAAAGTCGATTGGCTGACATGGTAGTGCACTGACGCCTCCTGCCCAATGAGAACTGTTGTTACATACTTTTATTGTCAACATTCACCAATCGTTTTAACATTACAAAATCAAGGCTTATAATATTTTTCAATAAATACATTATGTTATAGAAGCACATAAAACTTCACTAAACTCTTTAATCAGGTAGATAGTACAGATCAAAATATGGATCTACTTTTTGGCGCAATATAAAACAAGCCTAACCATACGATGATGTTAAAGTTTAATGGTTGAATATAATTTTTCTAATGATGCGTATAATGCAGGGATTATTAAACTGAAAATTTCGACGTGTTTAGGTTATTTATTTTGTACTAAAAATAAAAATAATACGTCTAAATGTCTGACTTATTGATACAGACATTGTTTAGTATAATTAATTTCGTGTTGGCAGGACATTCGCGCGCCGGTTGTCTCTTGAGTTGAGTCTGACATCTTGAAATGTAGATTCGTAGATTGTGTTGTGCAATGCTGAAGCTAAACAATGTCACCGGCACCAGTTTCTAAGTTGGCTATGAATATTGTTAACCGTGATGACAAAACTAATACTGTAGCTATACAGTAAATAAATGTTAAAATAAAATATTTATCCCTGTCGGATGTCGGTATCATCGGAATCGACTTTTGACAATCGAGTCTTGGTACCGATACCAATGTCCAAGTATCGGTGGTATCGATGACGATAATCGAATCATCCCTTTTTACTAGTAGAGCTGTATCGTGACGTAATCGATGCATCGGGATTTTGATGCATGCTGGATCGAATCGGGATTCGATGCATCGCACTCGCACACCTACACCACTGCCGACCTATCACCCAGTGTCAGCTCAGCTGTCGGCGCTGTCGCTGTCAGTGAAATGGATAACGCAAGCGATGTCTAGGTTGCCGATTATTAGTAGGCCTAGTATGTCAATATTTAAAGGGGTTAAGGGATTAAATAAAACTCAAAGATTTTCCTTTCTTACTATTTATTTGTCAAATATCAATGAAAATAACTAAATCGGCTTAACGTCTACTACTCGACTCGAGTCACGAGTATCTTTAACTACTCGACTCGACTGTCGAGTATTGCCAACTACTCGAGTAATTACTCGACAGTCGAGTACTCGCCCACCCCTAGAAACCGCCATTTTGGTTTTCGTTTTCATTAATCTTGCGTAGGCTAATATGAGAAAAACTTTTTTGAATAACATTTTCACATACATGATTTACCTTGATCTCCCTTTTTCTTTATCCCATATTTCCTTTATTTTCGACATTTTGAATTTCAATCTTGAATTTCCAAAGCTACTTATTCTTTAATTTAAATGAACAACAATTCTTTGCCAATATTTTAAACGAGTAAGGGAGGTTTTTACTTTTTACCCAGTAGTACATCCTAGTGATACCAGGGTGGCAGAGTGACTGGTGAAGTGCAAAAAGCTTGTCATCACAATTTATGTTTGTGACAAAGCTGTCTGTATTCATGTACAAGACAGTTTTTACCCCGAGTGTTTGTCTCTTGATGGAAATAACTTATATGGCAAGGCCATGTCTCAGTGTTTGTCTCTTGATGCAAATAACGGACGCGTTGCAGAAAGTCAACAGTCCCGGAAGGTCAAATAATTTATACCTGTGCCGCTAGGTCAAAAACTACAATGTTTGCAGTGTCTGTAGATCAAAAATCCCAGTAAGTCAAATAATACAGTCCGTGCTAAAAACGTAGTCTATGTTAAAGCGATTGACTTATTGGGAATTTGACCTAATGCAACAGCAGTTTTAATTTAACGAAATAAGATAAAATATAAGTTCAGTTTCGCTGAGTCAACAGTGCCGGAAGGTCAAAAGTATAATCTGTTAAAAAAAAACGATAGTCCTCTCGACGCATGACTTCAATAATTTCGTGTTTTGGTGTACTTAAAGTTGTGCTAACATTTTGAAAATTGGCACAGAGCTTCTTGGTTAGTCCTACTCGATGACTATTTTGTTGGAACTTTAAACTAATTACCGATCTAATTAATAACAATTGATATGTATGTTGAAATAGTTTTAAATCGTGATTTCTAACATGGAAAAGTTAGCATACGAGATTTTTGTTTGTTTTTGGGTTAGAGAGGTTTTGTCTGTGGCAAAGTTGTAGCCAAAAGTGTGATGCGTAAAATTTATTTTTTTATTATTTTTTACAATTAGTGGTTCAATAGATAATTTGGGTTGAAGAGGACGACAAATTTAGCATTTCGCAACACATGGAAAGAACTACATCGTACGATGCGACTGCTGAGTGGACTTTTAATTTACAGTTCTAACTTCTAAGGACAAGAAAAAGATGAATATAAAGATCACCAGTACATTCATATTATTTATAAAACATCTTTCTGTATTACCAGCTTACATTTTTCACTTATATTAATAAGAATACATCATAAACAGGGTGTTAAAAATAAGCGGGGAGATACTTTACCTAGTAATTCCTTGGGTCAAAATAAACAGAAAATCAAGGATAACATTTTTTCCAAAATCGTTTCGTTAACCAGATATCCGCCATTTTGTATTTTTTACATACAAATATTTATCTTTACACTTTTCCAACCGATGTTTATGAAACTTGGTATGTATGTTAAGGTAGGAGAGACCCATGTTATAAAAAAAGATTCATCTCGATTCACCCTAAAATTTCAAAATTTAACACTTAACTACAATATAATATACTTTACTACACCACAATATTTACGTATCACTATAAATCTTTAATAAAATAAAACGTTCACATTTTTAAAATCCAAAGTAAATCAATATAATCTTTCTTTTTTGAAAAATATAGTAAAAAAAATAA